GCATATTCTTTATGTTTCCTATTAAATTAATATACCTCTCGTAGAGGGTGGGGCGTATTTCTTTGCAGCCCCTCTGAGCCCAGTTCTACTGTGGATACGCCCTTTCGAATACAGGTCCGTGCACAGGATTTCACCTGAGGGGCAGTAATACTTATATGCTGAAATAAGTAATACCATAATGTCAATGCATTCAAAGTCATATGATTACTTGAAAAAAAATGCAGGTGATACTCAAATTTCGTCTTCCTCGTATGATCTTGAGACATTAGCTCAAAATTTAAATGATGATCTAAATAATATTCAGAGGTGGCTTTTAAAAAATAAGCTTCAATATCATCTTACCAATCAAAAGTCATGTTTAGTGCTTCATCTTATAATCCCATCAATGAAATTGGAAATACGCCAATATTGATGAATAATACCCCAGTCCCTCGAACCAGCAAATATACATGTTTAGGGATGGACATTGACGAAAAATTAACTTGGGATGCACACATCGATTCGATATGTTCTAAAGTCAGTGCTGGAATTGGGGCTATGAAACGTATAAAGCCCTTTGTCCCACTGCAACTCTGCAAACAATTTACAAAGCATTAATTCAACCCTCTTTGATTATTGTTCTCCTCTGTGGAAAAACACTTCAAGATAAACTACAAAAATCTCAATCCCGTGCAGCTAGAGTGATTACTGGAGCCAGTTATGATATTAGGTCTACTGATGTTTTGGATGCTCTCGGTTGGCAAACACTTGATGTGAAACGTTTAGAAAATAAATTAATAATGATGTACAAAATACTTAATAACCACACTGCCCCTAATCTAAACGAGTGTTTCTGCAAAAGAAACACAATTCAGTCTAATTACGATTTGCGTAGTAGCGATACAGATCTATGCTTACCTAAGCCTAATAGTGAATTTTTAAAGAAAACTTCGATATGGTGGTGCCATGCAATGGAATCATCTTTCTGAGGATTCAAAAAATTCTGAAACCCTTCCTTCTTTTAAAAGAAAAATACGTCAGGCATGAACACCTTCTTTGGATTGCACCAATTGTTAAGTTTTTATATAATTCCTTTTCTATTATTCTTTGCTTCCTTGTTTTTCTATATAGTTTAACTTGTATATAGTTTAATGTGCATATTCTTTAATTTGTAAATAGTTATTGTGTGACGCCCCTCATGAAAAGCAGCTCATGTTGATCGAGGCTAGCGTGTTTAAATAAAGTTTTACCACACCATACCGTACCATACCATACCATACCATATCATACCATACCATACATACCATATCATACCATACATACCATACCATATCATACCATACCATACATACCATACCATATCATACCATACCATACATACCATACCATATCATACCATATACCATACCATACATACCATACCATATCATACCATACCATACATACCATACCATATCATACCATACCATACATACCATACCATATCATACCATACCATACCATATCATACCATACCATACCATATCATACCATACCATACCATACCATGAAAAAACCTAGAGATTTGAAAAATCTCTCATGTACCCTGATTATTACTCTATCTCAAAATCTCCCAATGCTATTCTATAGGACCTCAGATTACAAAATCCAAATTAGGGTCAAAACGAAAGAATATGAGGCATATCTTCACCTTGACAGAACACAATGGAATCATGTATTTATTTTTTGGGATCCGGTGAACGGTGTGAAAGCTCTTGTCAACAATGTGATTGAGATTTCTGGCACTTCAAGACTCCGTAGTAGTCCCCCAAGACTTGGTTTCACTTACCTCAAAGTTGGGCAAAAAGTAGGATCAGCGCCGACTCGTTGTGCCCGCATGGGAATTCGGGATATTGCACTGTGGGAACGCAGAATCAGTCTGATTGAAGCGCGTGAATATTATCATTGTAACAATTTTGAAGTACCTCGGGAGTTTGTAACCAATCATCGTGTTCCATTGACTCTTGCTGGTATGTCAGTTATATTCTATCAGTCAGTTGGGTAGATCGTTTGATCAGTGGATAGGTCGGTTGGTCAGTGGATAGGTCGGTTGATCATTAGGTAGATCGGTTGATCATTGGGTAGGTCGGTTGGTCAGTGGGTAGGTTGGTTGGTCATTGTGTAGGTATCAGTGGGTAGGTTGGTTGGTCATTGGGTAGGTCGGTTGGTCAATGGTTAGGTCAGATGGTCAATGTGTAGGTCTGTTGGTCATTGGGTAGGTCAGTTGATCAGTGGGTAGATTGGTTGGT